GAATGAAAATTTCTACAGGAAAAGATACCAAATTTTTTACTTCATAACTCTTTATTTTATTCTTAAATGAGAATAGAAAAATTACAAGCATTTTTTTTTCCCACTCCGATGTGCGAGAAAGGCATCTTTTGAATATAATGCTGATAAAAATATAAAATCTTATAAAAATTTCTGGAGAAAAGAAAAAAACTTTCTGCTAGAAGAAGGTAACGTTGTGTGGCAATGTCGCCACAGGGTACTTCACAGCACTTTTTATTTATGGAATATGGTTGATATGTGTTGGANGATTGACGGTGAAGTCACGCAAATTTGAACTCTTCAAAAAGGGATTACTAAATGCATGTTTTCAATTCGAGATTCAGTTGTTGAAGTAAGTAATATTCTATTAAAAATATCGGATTTTAAAAGCTATGTGGAAATCAGTAGTAATCTGCATGAAAAAATAGAATGAAAATTTCTACAGGAAAAGAAACCAAATTTTTTACTTCATAACTCTTTATTTTATTCTTAAATGAGAATAGAAAAATTACAAGCATTTTTTTTTCCCACTCCGATGTGCGAGAAGGGCATCTTTTGAATATAATGCTGATAAAAAGATAAAATCTTATGAAAATTTCTGGAGAAAAGAAAATTTTTTTTACTTACCAAAGGAAAAAACTTTCTGCAAGAACTAGGTAACGTTGTGTGGCAATGTCGCCACAGGGTACTTCACAGCACTTTTTATTTATGGAATATGGTTGATATGTGTTGGAATTTTACGAAAGAAAAATATATAATTAATGTACAAACACTTGCTCAAAGAGATGTTTCAAGAGATTGCTCAAAACAACGCTGTGGAAATCAAATTCCGATTGAAAACATTTATTTTCGCTTTAGCAGCATCTTGTAGGTCATCGGAGTTAAAATAAGAACTGAATCCCTAATCAAATGATTACATAACCACTTATTTAGAGTAAAGTTTTTTAAATCAGTGGATAATTACAAGATTTAAAGATTGAGGTTTGCGGGACAAATGGACATAGTTTGCTCAAAACAGGATAATTTAATATCGATACAGGCAATTTTCACGGACCAGCAGAGGGTGACGTTAGGAAGCAGGATGACGTATGAAACGAACAAAGTAAAACTAAGGTTTCACTGTGTATCAATTAAATTTTTTTCTTTTGTGCGCTTGTGTTGTATATCTTTCATATTCCCACGAATAAAATTTTCTAAAGCATTTTTTTTCCATTCTTGTGTTAATTTTTTAAATGTGACAGAGGAAAACTTCTGTCTCACTGCTTGTTTTCGTGCCATATGTTTTATGAGAAATATGTATAAGCGTTTTATCATCTAGTAAAGTTTTGCTCTCTTGTTCGGACCTACTGTATATAAATGAAAGCTTTTTCTAAACCAAATTAATGAATGTATTACATAAAATGTTATGATATTTGAAATTAACAATGGAAAACATATAATGAAGTAAAACTAAATGTAGACAATTTTTATGTATTTATTTAAGCTTAAGATATATGAAATTTTGATTTAATCATATTGGAAAAATGCACAGTGCTATTTTTACCACTAATTTTAAGTAATTTTTTATCGGACATGCAACTTTTTTTAAAAATTTAATGATTTTAGGTACATTATTTATTTAAATTTTAATTAGTAGAAATAATGTCGTAAAGACCTAACTTCTTTAAATGACAGTTAAAACCCTCTAATTGTTATGACTTTTTTTTCAGTTTTATTTTTTTTAAACCTTCTATTTAAAATTATCAACATTGTAATAATGTGCCTGTCAATAAACTTAACTTTCTTTCATTTATTAATAAATTGTTGTTCAATAAATTGTAAATAATTAGTATCTCTTCAGGGGTCTGTCCAAGCCAAATTTACTACCGCTTTGCTGTACCTTCACAAATTCAACTTTAGGAAAAACGGTACAAAATACTTTTTCCTAAAATTTTATTTTTGTATCCCGTAAACGATAAATCCATATTTTTACCACATTTTTGTGTTGATTTTTTAATATAATTTTTAATTTTCACAAATTATGTCTAAATTTTCACAAAATAGGTACCTCAAAGAAAAACCTAGACAGACCCCTGTCATTCATATTTTTTTATCAACAAATTTGACGACCAAATCTTCAAATTTTTTTGCCAATGTTTTTACTGTGAAATTCGCACATATTTTAGTCAACTCATATGGGAGGAAATTCATCCATCTCCTCCTCTTGTAAATTATTTTTTGAATGCCAATGGATCCTTAGATCTAGTCTGAGGGAGTCGCACCAGATAGGAGATAAGCAACATTTTTTTCAATTTTGGAAAATNTTATATATATATATATATAAAATTTTTCCCCCCTTGGATTTCCTCTCTTTTACTTTCTGACAACTCTCATCCCAGAATATTGGAAAATGCAGATGTTTGTTGATTGAATCAACTTGATTTAAATCTTCGTCAGTGTTCTCCCTATTTACACATTGGTAAAATTATCAGTGTTAATAGGTTTAGTTATTATTATTATTACAAATACTTACTTTGTTTGGTTAAATTTTTATAAGCTTTTTTTTTCTTCAAGATTTTTTGTTTTAAGTGATTTTAAACCTTTTTTTTAGATGTTCATTTTTTCATAATTTTCTGTTTAAATTGCAGAAAAAAAAAGCTTTCAAGTTTATCAATTAATCCCAGTTTTTTAGTTTACTTTTTTTTTTAAAAAAAAAACAATTATATGCTCAGAAATTGTTTTCTAGCATGTTCTGAATTATTTTTACTACAAATTTTTTTCTTGTTTTGATAATGTGTATAAATTACTTTTTGAAATATATGCATACAAGAGTAATTTAAAAAAATTTGAGGATCAAGTTTAGTTATTACATAATACAGTTGAACCTGTTTATCTCAAAATTTCTAAAATTCCTTACATTTACTGTTTAAAATCAATGTATTTTCCATGTTTATGTCGAATTTTTTTCCCTTCAAAACCTCAGTTTCTCGTATTTCTAATAATAGAGCACAAATGTCACAACTTTCTTTATCAGTAGAACTCGTAGACAGTGATGAATTTCGTGACTCCACAGGAAGTAGTGATGAACAGGTAGAGGGTGTTTCTTGGAATTTCGATTACTATCCCTGCACTTCCTTAACTAGAAAGGAATGCTTAGCTAGGTTTTTTTTTGAACATTGAAAATGAAATGTGGAAAACATTGCTTTTATTATAAATTAAAAATTTTTTCTTCTTTTCCTCAGTAGCTGAGTCTGAGACGCCCGCTATGACCTTGGGGTCAAGTGTCCGTTACTTAACTCCTGATGAAAATGAGGTTTATAATTAACAAAAATTGAAAAAGATTCTGTAAAATAGGTGGGATAAAGCAAGGGAATTTTTTGTTCTAATACTGATATTGTAGTAATCCATTCTTCTGAAGAAGAGGTGAAAACTACCATGCTAACTCCTTTTTATTTGAAACACACCTTGGACTTCCACTTTTTGAATAAAAATGAATTAGTTTTGACATTGATAGATCTAGATTTTCTTGTTTTTTTTTCTAGTGAAAGAAATTAAAAAAAAAAAAACCCAACTTATTCTTTTAAATCAATGTATCTGTCAAAATAGTATATTACTCAACAAAATAGTATCAAAATAGAAGAAAAAAAAAAAATATCTGGACAAAGTGCTAAAAATCAGAATAATTTAAGACAGAATATTTTGTATCAAAATGATCAGGACAATTACAAACCCTGGACACAATGTGAAATTATTTAATACACTTTCATTTAAAACTAAAAAGAAGAAAAAAAAAAGCAAATAAGATGGTAAGTTTTCTCACATATGATTCATTGCTAATATGATAGCTATTATAACTTAATTGCTATTTTTCAACAAGGTATATTTTCAAAAAATTTATTTTAAGTATTTTATATTTTTGAAAAAAATATTCCCTGTTAATTTCAAGTTAAAAAAAGTTTATTGTATTTGCATTGTTTGATCTGTTTGTTTTATAACAAACAGTAAGAGAACACCATTGATATTTTTGAATAATGGCTTGATAAATATTTAAAAAAAAAAAAAAATGGAGTTACTGAGCTATTCAATACTGGGTGCATTTTTTATGAAAAGTTTAAATACTGGGAAATTGATTATATCATAATTCAGCTTTAAGAACTGGAAATTAGCAAGTGGAATGTAAAATAAAAAAAAAAAAACTAATTAGAATATTCATATTTTGTAAGGAATTCTAATTCATCTGAGCTAACTAACATCTTATTTGACATAAAACGTTTACATTCTACAGTAAAATAGTGAAGAATTTAGTCAGAAATGAGAGATTTTTTTAAGGAATAATTCAGTCATGTTTCTTGAAAAATGTATTTCACACTGCCTATATTATTATTTTAGTAGTAACTCTTAAGCTATTATTTTAAAATTAAGAGTTTAATAATATGCTGCAGGAGGAACTTTTCATGGCAAATTCTGTTTCTTAATCATTAGTATTTTAAAATTTGAAGTAAAGCGGGTTCAAGAAAACGTAGTATAAACATGAAGTTTCGAATGTTTACAAAATGCAAACAAATTATTGTATGATTACTTACCCACTTTATAATCTTGACCTTATTTGTTTGCATTCCGATATTTTGAAAAAGAATTTCAGCATTTGAAACTTCACAGTTGATTCTAGGTTTATCTGAACTCATTTTTTCTATCCTTTTAAATTATTCATGTAGGAAAAAGAGAATTTCTAAGGAAAGGTTTTTCTTGCTGTAAAGCGTTTTCTTAATAAGTTAATGTTTAATCAAAAGAAAAAAAGTGTTAAGTTCATGATAAACAGTAAATAATTTCTCTTTTCAGCTATCTTAATTTCAAAGAGAATTATTAATCTAAAAATTGCTCTGTTAGACTTTTGTTATAAAAGCAACCATTTGATATTATAACTAAAGATTTTGAAGTTAATATGCATGTAATTAAAAACACCAATCTAAAATTCAATGAAAATAATACATTAAGCATGCAAGGAATTTTCAGATAATTTTTAATAAATAAACTTTATAATAGATATGAACAATACAAAATTAACATTGCACATTTGATTGGCTGAACCACTTTAATAGTAATGGTCTACCTTTACATACACTATATTATCAGTTTTTTTAAAAAAATTTTAATTTCAAAAATTAAGCAGCAGCATCAAAAAATGTGTCAATGGTGTTTGACACATCCTGTGGAGTATACTTGATGTATTTATCAGTATTTTTTGTGAACCCAGCATCAATGTACCTAAAATAATAAAATTGTTAAAAAATAAAATAAGTGAATCAATTTTACATTAAATATTTATAAACATTTATATATATGTTTTTTTTAAAAAGTGCAATTAAAGCAACTATTTTCAAACATTAAAATATTAGTTAACTTTACATTTTATTTTCTGGAAATGATAAGTTAATACATTACTTACTTCTTACAATGTACAAAATATATCTGAACAACAATTTATAACTTATTTGCCTTGGTATTGTTTAAAAATTAGGAATTGTGTCTGAAAATTTGTCATCAACAAAATTGAAAGACTATAATCGATATTTTATGTAAGACATTTTAATAGAAAAAAAAAGAACTATGGATAAAATTATCAACACTGTAAGTTGAAAAATTTTACGTGTTTGAAGCTAGAAGCATTAGGATATTTTCTTTACTACATGGCGATGATTTACCATAACTAATAAAAAGAATTTTATGTGTACAGACTTACTTTTCATAAAACATGGTATATTTGGGTAAAATAAATTCTTTATTGTCTCTTTTCAAACCTTCTCTCAGCTCTATGTTAGGGACAGCATAAGCCTTTTGTGTTCGTGTTATTTCCTCCATTTCCTTGTTGAAACCTGAAAACTTGTCTTTGATGTTTTGCTTATCTTTATCTCTTAACTAAAATGCAGAAAAGAATAATCAAACCATACAGAAAAAATTCATGCACAATGTTTAACATTTCTATTAAAAGCATTCGGATAACCAGAATTTTGACTCGCTTGATACTTTTGATGCATTATTCTCAGTAGCAGATTATAGATACATTTTATGCCAGTTCAGAAGTAAATGGCAACCAGTACAAATATTTTTAATATTCTAAAATGTACTATAATTTCAATAGAATCCGAAATGACTTTTTATAATATCTTAAACAAAGATGGATCTTAACTAACCTTCAATGAAAACCTGCACCCTTGAGTTTAAATCAATCATTTAAAAAATAAATAAAGACAATAAAAAAAAAGCAAAATAAACATGTACAGCAAAAAAAAAAAAAAGAACCTAAATAATATTAATCTAAAGACTGAATTTTATGTATTACAATAAAAACTTAGTTGTTTTGATCTAATTTAGTTAATGTTTAAAAGCTAAAACTATGAGAGGTACCATCTGATTTTCGTACAAAAAATTACAATAAACATAAACCAGATCAATAAATTTTTTAAAATTTTTTTTGATTTGTATAAAAGCTAAAATAGTCAACAGATGTTTTTGGCTTATTTATAAAATTAAACAATTATTTAAAAAAATGGACAAAGAATTTATGTTCTTTTTGTTTGCTTTTCCTTCAATATGAAACTATGTCTTGAGCATACACAGAAAGATAAATTTTTACAAAAAGAGCAAACTATTTTTGACAGTTATTCAATAAATTCTAAAAATTGAAAAAAAAAAAATATGAGCAATATTTTTACATTAAATTTGCTTTAGCCATAATCTTTTAATATATTTATAATATAGAATTCAACCATTCATAAATAATGCAATAAAACACAAACAATAGTTAAGTAATTACTTTTATGCTGGCACCCATTTGTGTTGAATTAGATGATGCTCTAGCTTGGGAAACAGGCTTATCTACTTCCATCACATAATGCAATACACGACTCCAACTGCAACAATATCACTTTCATTAGATACAATCAATTTCATTAGAAACAAAACTTACTTATTTTTGGAATGACATTTCAACAGAAATAAGGGTGAGCAGAAAAAATTATGCATGTAATATGCATTACTATAAATAAAGTAGTTGCTAAAATATAACTACAGTAGAACCCCAATTATCAAATGTCTGACCACTTTGGTAATAACATTCCTACAAAGTTTCATCATTCATGAATTAAGGTGCAAATTTATTTGACTAGTAATGTACACAGAAAATAAAAAAAAAGTCTTGCAAGATGCAATGTAGCTGAAGCAATAAGTAATTAACTCTTTTGGCAGTAAATTAAAATGCCAACAGTATTAATGCAATGCAGGCCAATTATTTAAAAGATTGTTAGGGATTCATATATTTTTTCTAAGTCTATTATTTATTTTTTTGTTGCTAACATATAAACTTAAAATGCGAATTCACTAAAATGTATATAGGTGTAAAAATCAGGAAAAACAAGTTTTTTTTTCTTTTCTGAAATCTCTCGTAGTTATGACTTATAATTTAGAAGTTCTAATATCACCCTAACTAAAAAATAAGGTAACTTTAAAATTAGACTAATTCTACATTTTTCAAAAAGAAACTTACTCAATTTAAAATTAAATGCAAGCTCTGTTACATTAACCATCTGAAATATTTTTAAATAAAAGTAATAATGTAGGAAGAATTTACAAATATATAGTAAATATTGTTTGTTGTTTTAAATGCCCCAAGTACATCAAGTAAATTAATAACTAAATTAATAATTTATCAATTTAGTAATTAAAAAAAATTACCTTTGAGAATATATTCTTTTTTGATCTCGAATCTGATCATTATAATAATTTTCAGCTAACGCATTGTGCATCCTTACAATTTCCAAAAGTCCAGTTCTAAAATTAATGAAATAATCTTTATCAACAATGATTACTTTTCATGAAAGAGTATTTATATGTGTCCAAATGAAAAAATTTTATTAAAAAATGTTAATATTATAATAATTTTCATGTATATTTTTACTAAAATTATAAAAGTTTAAGTAAGTTTTCTTCATTACTGCACATAACACATATAAATGATAAAGTAACCATAAAAAAGTCATAAAATTACTAGTAAACTGCATGATATTAAATTTTACACAATTAGGTGGAATACAGAGCAAGTGTTAAAATGTGAATTATTTATTAATAATTACAATTTTTACAAGACTTAAATAAATATTTTAGTTTGCAAGCACCTTATCCTATTTTTAAAAAAATCATAAAAATATGCTACAATTAAGAAATAATGCATATGAAAGTGATGATTTGAAAGAAAAAAAAAATGAATGTGTTTTAAAAAATGTGATGTAAAATTATGAACAAAAAGTTTTAATGACCAAATGAAGACACCTGATTTCCTCTACGCAAAATATATTACAAACATAACATTGAAATTTGAGGACATAAAAGAATGCAGCATTTTAAAAATTTACAAAAATGAAAACATAAAAATGTCATTTACCGTTGAAGAGCTTTAAGAATGTAATGAAGATTATTCATTCTAAATATTGCCCGAAGATACACATCACTGTAATAGTCACTTTTTGTTTGCAAGGTTACTCCTAAAGCTGATAAAACTCTTGCTAAAAAATACCAATAAAAATAGTTTTTCATTGACATTACATTAAGGAAAAGGAAGAAAAAAAAAGAATGTTGCATTTTCATTAATAAAACTGAGACATTTAGCATATGTGATTTATTTAAGCATTTGAAACAAGATTTCTATTTTGACAGTCTTGTCTTCTAGATATATTGGAGAATATTTTATTTTTTTAAACGAGTCTCGTAAAAATGAATCAGACCACTTTACACTAATAACCTGGTAGCAGAAATCCTCCAGCATGACAGTGGGCGATGCAGATATTTTGAAATTTGAAGATTATTTTTCACCTCAGAATTAAAAAAAAATTATCATGCCATTAGAAGATTATTTTTCCTCTCAGATTTAAGAAACAAGTCTAAAAATTACTCAGAGGAGAAAGAGAAAAATCATTGTCAATTCCTAAACTTACTCAACTACTATTTGCTTCAGGTTTTTTTAAAATTTTTTTTTTGCCTACATGCAGATATAAAAGTAAACGATAAAAGATGACTTTAAAAAATTTCAGATAATTATATTTAATTATTTGAATTTTGAAAAATAAAGAATTTTTATGACAAAAAAATTCCCAAAAACTCTAGATTCTTGTTTATAGATTTTATGGGGACTTAGTCCATTTTTTAACCTTCAATTATTGTATTCATTTAATAGTGCATAATCAATTTTAATTAAAATAAAAAATTTTTTGTGCATAAATTTTTATCTACCTTTTATGCGCTAATTTTGATTTAATGATGGGATCTTTATGTTTTAGGGCTGAATCTTAATGATTCAGAGGGATGACTTCACCGATTCATTAGCATATTCAGAGTCATCCCTTCAAACCATTAAGATTGAGTTCTAGAACGTGAAGATCTGATCGTTAGATCAAAAGTTATTCAGATGGTTGGTTCATTTTTTTTTAGCACTGCATACATGTTAGATCAAGCCTAGTTTTTACCATAATAGTGTGTTTGACTGTGTTAGATTGACTCGGCAAATTCTGTTTGGGCATAGCAGCAAAAAAAGGCGTTTGAACTTAGTGCATTATCTCAGAGGTAGAAAAACTTTTAACTTACATTTGTAGATTATTTTAAATTTTCAACAAATACCAGAATTTTTCAAAGTTGATGGTATAATATAATTCAAATATAGTTGGTTATACTTTATGTTGATGATTATGATTCAATTCCAGGTATAATACAACTCTAACATCTTCAAAGAAACAAAAGAATAATTTTAGATATGAAAAGCACAAAATTTTTAAATGTGTCTTACTGATATATTGAGCAAATGAAAGTTTTCCTTTATCTTTAGTTGAAGCAAATGACACATCCTGTAATGTTAGTACACTACCTAAGATATCTTGATAGTCTTGCAATTGTTCCAGTAACATGATAGCCTGTAATTCAGAAAATAATAATCCATTATAATGTTAGACACTTAAAAACATCATAGTTGGTAACTACATTGCTAATATCTAAAATATTTTAGGAACAAGGAATTTTAAGGGTTTCTTTAGTCAATAAAATATAAAAATTACATTACATTAATAATTATAAAGTGACTGAAATAATTTCCATTTATGATTGACATTTAATGGACTACATTGTTAGATGTTTCATTGCATTTATTATACTTTTTAATTCATAATCCTGAATAGTAAAAGGTATTGCAAACATTTTAGATACATAATATGTATTATTTTTTCACATAAAAACAGCATATTATATATAAAAAAAGCAAGAAAAATTTAGAATATTTAAAAAGAAAAGCTTCAAGCTGATTAGCACAAATGAGGTTACTATTAGACACAATATTTAAATATTCAAATAAGAAACTGAGCAAAATATCTGATTTAATAGGAAAACTTTTTCTCAAAGTCCGTCTCAGTTTCAGAATATTTTTAAAATATACAAAAATAAGGATATTTTCTGATTAAACCACAATAAACTGAAAAAATTTAGTACAATTAGCAGATATGAAACAGGTATAAACTGTTCATTACAGTGAAAGTACAATAAATATGAATCTAAATTAATTGAGACAATGGAGTGAGATTTTCATAGCTATTGCAGAAAAACGTCTGATATGGTTGAAGTTTAAGTATTCAGAAGAAATGAAAATTATTTTAATAAATAAATAACAAAAAATTTAGAGTTTATTTACAGTTAAATTTTATTAAAATACAAATTTTCAAATAGCAAAATACTAATAACAATTTTTTTCAATATTATTTTAAAATTCATTTAAAAAAGTTGATATAAAAAGTGCTTCAAAATAATTATCTTTTATTAATAAATTGCATTTGTTTATACAAAATATTTGAATTTTTTTTAATGAAATAACTTATAAGAAACTTTTAAATTTAAAAAATTAAATGTGAAGTTTGCATGTACAAGGTTCAAGAAGTTAAGATTTAACGAATCTTTTTTTAAATGTGATTTGTCAAATGTTTCCTATTCTGATTTTAAGGTAATTGACTTAGCATGTTTATTTTTTATACAAATAAATAAAATTAAGTACAACCTCATAATTACCCACATTTTAAAAACTATAATAAAATTTTCTAAATTTAACTGCTGCAAAGGTAAACAACACATAATATTCAAAATATAAGTTACAAAACTAAATAGGTTTCATTTTAATGTTATTAACAACAATATTGAAGTTTATTTAAATTTTAAAAACTGTAATATAGAAAGTTTATTTAATCATTTTCACAGAAGTTATAGTCAATTTTAAGATTGAGAGCAATATTCTATTACTATTTAAAAATAAATAAATAAATAAAATCAAAATATTATATTCACTTTTATTTCTAACAACAATTGCAAAATATTATAATGTTATTCATATATTATCGTTTAAATCTTGCTTACATTGCTAGTAAGTTGATGAACAGTACCATCTTTGGGCATTTTAGTATCTGGATTATTTTTAATACTCTCAATAAACTCTTCAAGGGTTTTACTTATCTAGAATAAAAAAAAAATGGAAATTATGATACATTGTATTTTTGAACAAATAACAAGCAGAAATAAAAATGAATATGTTACTTACTGTAGCTTGTACAGTGATAACAAATCCGCGAAGTTTGTCATATAATGTTGAGGAACACCCCTGAAAAGAATAATTTATTTTTTTAAAAAAAACTACAATTATGATAAATTTATAAAAAATATTTCTATTAGCTGCAATATAAAGTTATTTAGACAAAATTTTTTAGATTAAATATGTTTCCCCATAAAATACAATAGTCATTTATTTAAAAAAAAAACCTTTTCTAATTACATTATAAACACTAAAATTAAAGTTATCATACTGTTAAATTTAAAATGTTTAAAAAAAGAATCAGAAATCATTGCTGCTCAAAATAAGGTAGTGGATGACTCAGAAAGTTTTTGAACCCCAAGTATTTCTTTCATCCTTCTAGTTGATTGGCATATTTTTTTAGAATAAGTGTTTTAATATAAGAATTACATTAACATAAGAATTATATTAATAAAGTAAATAAGAATTATATTAATATAAGAATTATATTAATATAAGAATTATATTAATATAAGAATTATATTAATCTCAACTATATTAAAAATAATTTAAAAAACTGCAGTTGAATTATTAAAATAAAAATTAAAAGATGTAAAGATAATTTACACATAGTAACATAATTATAAAACAAGTTTTGCTAATATATTATTTAATTCTAAAAATTTCAGAAAAATTTGAGAGTAGGATTTTAAACAAACCTGGAAAAGTTTCTCAAAATCAGTCTTGATAGTCATAAGGTGACGCAAAATAGGAAAAAGATTGAGTGCTGCTGAAAATTCATGTCTCTGAACACTTTTTTTCACTTTACTAACAATCAACTGTATAGAAAAAAAAAGTGTGATTCAAATGTGTTATTAAATAATAAAATTTTACATTAGTATCAGGTTTTTGAAGAATGAGCAAAAACAGTAGTACCCTGATTAATATAGGTCAGATTTTTCTGAGATCCAAAACATACGTCTTGAAATCAAACTTATCTGAGTAGATGATTCACATCACTATTTAAATCACAATTCTTCGTAATCTGTGATTAACATCAATTGGGTAGATTCAGAAATAGCATGATTTATAAATTGAATCAATACAAATTGCAGTGTCTAATCACTGAGAATAATCCAAAACCGAAACATCAGGGCTCGAAAAAACTCGGAAATTTTACCCGTCCCCGAGGATGGCCTGTCCAACAATGTACCCGTCCTCCTTTGAAACTAACCCGTAGCTTCTAAATAAATAAAAATATAATTTTCTCCTATTTATTACAAACATTTATATAAATTGCACAATGAATTAGTAGTTACTAGGATTACAAATACTAGGATTACAAATACTAGGATTACATTATACAGTAATAAAATAAACACTAGGTTACTAATAGCAACCTAGTATTTCTTTTATGAAATAATTAAAACGACAAAGGTCAAGTTATCTGGAATGTCAATTTATCCAAGGGTACTGCTCTTTTTAAACATGACGTTTGTCAGTTCCCCAATCAAGCCAATGATTTACAGAGGTTTCTGCACAAAAATCTGAAAGGGGTTTTCCATTTAGGTAGATGCTCATAATTGCATTTAACACTTCTTGTTTAAGACCTGTCCAAATCCACATGCACAGATCAACTTTTCTTTTGTTTACCGATTACGTGAGTATGTGCATTTGGTCTGAAGAAGGAATTAACGGGATTCCTAGATTAGAGGGTCATTTTAGAGGTGAGGTGCTTGACTCTTGTAAGATAACAAAAATTGAAAATGTTTCACGAACATTAACGGGAAAATGGCCGTCCGCGCGGACGTTGGATTCGAGAAATTTGTTGTCCGCAGGGAATTTTTGACCGCCGAGGACGGGCGGACGTGCGGTTTCTCGAGCCCTGCGAAACATGCCTCTTGAAACCACTTATCTGAGTAGGTGACTTGTATCTATATTTAAATTATGATTCTTCAAAATCTGAGATTAATTCCATTTGGATAGATTCAGAAATAGTATGATTTATAAATTGAATCAATACAAATTGCAGTGTGTAATAAATGTAAATAATCCAAAACCGAAACATACATCTTGAAACCAAACTTATCCGAGTAGATGATTTGTATGTATATTTAAATCAGGATTAATCATAATCTGTGATTAACACCAATTGGGTAGATTCAGGAATAGTATGATTTATAAATTGCAGTGTGTTTTTAATGTGAATAACACTAATTACAGACCACAAGCGAAGTGAAGTTCTAAATGAATACATTAATTTTAAAGTTTATACAATGAAAATAGAAAATAAAGGTTATGAAGTGCCAGAGTACCCACTTCCCAGATAAAAGCAAAATACCTGAGTAAACTTCAAAATATTTTCATACATTTATACAAATAAGAAACTTTTTAAATAGTGATACTACGTCACATTTAGCAGAAAAAGTTTTTCTCAATAAAAACATATCATTCGCTATTACAAGCTCAAGATAAATATGAATTTATTCTTAAGAAAAAAATGTTTAATATTCTAATGGTTTATTAAGTCTAATTTTAATACAAGAAATCCTTATTTAACGGAAAATCAGAATAATCAATTAGAATTATTTATTAAAATAGTAATGATAACAAAAAATTAAATAATATGTAATACCACTTAATATACTGAAGAGTAATAAAGTGTTTGAAGAAAGCAAAACTTAACTGGGTGATAGAACGCATCTACAATATTCCTGATATTGAGCAATATTCTTCATAGAATGTATGATCAGAACGCTGGGAAGTTAAAAGGTAGTTTAAAACAGCCACATTTAAAGAATTAACACAAGAATGGGAAAAAATGGTTAAGAAAACTTCGTATTCTCAAAAATATGATTGATGAACAAAGAAATTGCAGGAAGAGATGCTTAAAAAAACTGCTTGATGTTTTCACAAATGTAAATTACTCCCTATGCCCCAGGTGTGAAGCCTGCATTACAGCTTATGTAAGATCTTTTGAGCAATTTCTTAGAGCATCTCTCTGAGCAATTCTTTGCATTTAATTACATCTTTTTCTTTTGAGCACATTCTATGATGAATATTGCTTGTACAGATACGTTTGATCACTCAGNAGCATATGCGACAGAAGATGAAGTGGAGTCTCGCCCCGAACGCATTGATTGTCTGCTGTGCTCCGCGCGCTTGGCAGACACCAAGACGCTAGGCCCGGTTAGAAACGGTGGCGTTAAAAACCACGTGAGAGAACTCAGGAACAAAACAGAAAGAACGAGAAAGATCCGCGGGAGTTTTATAAAAAGGGCCGCCGGCAGTATTGGACAAATTCAAGGACCTTTCCAGTTTTTCAAGGACCTAAGACGTTTTTCAAGCACTTTCAAAGACCTAAATTTAGCAACAAAAAAAATCAAGGACTCTCAAGGACCGTGGGAACCCTGACTGTAGTAAAAAGAAAAAGTTGAATTGAATACCCTTACCCCTTATATAAACAAGCCAGGTAAAAAAAGGGTTCTTATATTTTTAAATAAAGGAAAATTAACATTAAAATTTCCCATGTGAATTTCTAGAACTTAAGTAAGTCTTGAACATACTTTCATTTGTCAGTAAAAATAAGACATTTTATTTGATTTGTCTTATTTATAAAATAAAGTGGTAATTCAACATCTAAATTCAAGAATAAAACAAAATAAAAGAATTTCTTTCATATTTATGCTCCTAATTTTAATAACTGTATAGAAAGATGTTGTTTACCTCTCCTTCAGACATTAGATTTTCCATAGCTTTGGTGACAACTCTTTCAAAAACTACCTTTTTGCTTTTACTGGGAACAATGCCGGTCATGAGACTTAGCTCACTCTGAAAGTAAAATAAAGGATAAAACAACAGGTTATTAATCAGTGCAAAAAATACAGGGTGATTTAAAACTATCTTTCCAACTTTAACAATAAGGTAGTATTTATACTAGATAAGTACTAATTAATAACTTATGTTTGTATATATTTTAGGAACACTTTACATGAAGCTACTAACATTAAAATGTTTTGTGATTTTGGGGCACAAATATTCAAGAATAATGATAAGAATGCTCACTTAAAATGAGTATTTCTATAATTTCACATGTGATTAATACAAGGAACATTCACTTGGATTTCATGAGTTTTAAATGATAGAAAATCTAATCTCATTGTATGTTATTTAGCAGTATAAACACTAAATTATTTCTGGGATATCTGGGTAGAAACATAACGAATAATGAAAGAAATATTCACATGGAATGGATATTTTCTTGAAATTCATGAGAATCAAATGGAAGAAATAAAGGCTTATCCTATTAATTATGATGTATGGAAAATTAAGGGTTTGTTTTTGTGCAATTGTTTCAATAACAACTAAATTTGTTCATAGTACATTAAGTTAATATTGGTTTTCCTACACTGGAAATAGAGTAGACCTAGTTTAAGAGTGGGAGTTGATTTTTGTAATGAAAACACAACTCACAAAATGAACATAAATACCTAATTTATAGAGAGTATAACAATTATTGACAGGAATAAAGCAAGATTTGAAGATAGTTATTTTAAATTTACAAATGTATTCAGCGCATACTTTAAATTTAAAAAAAAAACAACAAAAAAAAAACACAACAACCATAGTAACAATATGAACACAGAGATTCATATTTATCTTCTGATGAGTTGAATCTTTTGTACACAGATTGCAGGAGGGGAAAAAAAATCTTTTTGAGTTTCTTTTTTAAGCTATAGATTGTGTTATATTGGAAAGTAAATTAGAAAAACGTAAAAATCAAGCAACCAAAAAGAATTAACAAGAGATTAAAGATAAAAAGGTTGAGATCTCATAAAAAAATTCCAACTACAGTAATATTGGCATTAGAGTAACAATTCTGAGTTATAGTGAATCGACTGAATGACGCAACAAACTTTTTAATTAAAAAGAATAATTGTCACAAATTAGCTAAGATAGTTTATTGAAATTGAAATAATTGATTTATTGAATCTAACTTACCTGCATAAGTTTTAAAAGACCACTAAGTGAAGTCATGAAAGACATCACATCTATTTCAATGGTTTCATCTTTTGCCTCAGGTAAGAGGGATGTCTGATATCTATGATGCCCTATAGATAAAATAAATAAATATTTGTTCATTTTTTCCTAATATCGCATTATGAAATGTGTAATTAAAATACATTGAATTATTTTACAATTAAATATTTTAAAAATTATGTAACTTATATTAAAAATACTTCTCCATCACAAAATACAGAATATTCTAGAAAATCACATATTTGAATTCTAGAATAATATGTGCTTGCATTGTACTTTCAGTGACTACATACTTCATTGAATAAATATCAAACATGTTCTAATCTTACATGTTAAAATTCTCAGAAAATAAATTATTGGAAACAAAAGGAATTCATGGAATGTAATCCAAAATTCATGGAATGTAATCCAAAATTCATGGAATGTAATCCAAAATTCATGGAATGAAATCCACATTTAATGAATTTTGACTAACTCACATTCAATTTTTAATTTCTTTAAAATTATGGATACATTTAAAATAAGCCAAAAAGTTACAAGCAAAATTTACTTTAAAAAAAAATCTTAAAAAAAAAATCATGCTAAGTTTTGTTGAGCAATGCATGTAAATATTTAATTATTTTAAAATCTAATACTTCACTTTCTGATCATAAAATCAATTCAATTTTGATACATAAGAGGTAAGTAAACACATTGAAACATTAACACTTTCAGCTAATTCCTTTCTTTCTTCATGATTTTTTTACATGGAAAATTTAACACAGATTAATGATAGTAGATAAATTATAATTTAAAACTACCTCTGAATATTTCTTGCCTTAAAGGTTTCAGGAAATAAGATTTCAGTACAGCTATGAAAAGGGAGGAGGAATTTTAAGGCAAATGTAGGGAGAAGAAAAACTTTCATAAAGTTATTGTTTTTTAAAAGCTGTGCTTACATTTTGAGTTAATACTGTATTTCCAAAAATTATAAAAAATTTCACTAATAAGATTTATTGATATATAAGAAACTTAAATTCAAACAATAAACAAGTGACTTTATCACTTTGCAGCTTATACTTTAATAGGATACTACAATAAATTAGCAAAGCAATTTAAATGCTAATCAAATTAAAGTATTAAGAAAATACTTTAGTTTTCACATGATCTGTACTTTGATATTGCATATTAAAAAGTATTAAAACTATTCAAAATTTAAAAAAATTATGAATACATATAAAATTATAACAGTATATAAATAGTACAGAAAATAACATACTTTATTTACGGTGAATAAATTTAAGGAAATAAAATGACTAGTTTATCAATAAACTAATTAAAAACTATTTTAAAAACCAACGAAAAAATTACACATTAGTTCATAAGGATATATTTTTCTTACCTAACATTGCACTTTCCACACTTGGAGAATATTTTGCAAGGAAACCAGTGGCTTTTTTAACAAACCTTCACAAGAAAATAAAATATTTTTCATAAAATATTAATTCATTTTAAGTAAGTTAATCATTGACTTAACTAATACCATTAAAGAATAAAATTGTAAAATTATCAGAGAAGTAAGACATTTATAAAAATTTTTTTAACAGCATTATTTTAAAAATTAAAAAAAAAACGAACAAAAACAGAACAATAAAGAATAACATAAAATAGGATTAATAAAACTAACAACAACAAATAAGCTAAAATGGAAGCAACCTGCTTTTCCAAAATGTTCCAAAAGAAATGAATTATAAAAATATTTAGTAGCCAGTTAAATAAATTGGTATTTCTGAACTATTTAAGATAAAAAGAATACAGTTCCTCAAAATATTTTATAAAAAAGATATTAAAAAATATTTTTATCTTATTGACAAAAAATCTGTTGAATAAATAACTAATTAATTTTTCTATCAAAATTTTTTAACCTTTATATTATGAATAGAGTTGTCTACAAATTCTGGTTGTCCAAAAAATTGCAATTGACGCCCAATATTTTAGTGAAATTTAATTGGTTTTGAGTTCAATTGGAGAGGGTCAGTGAGCAGAGCATTTTAGTCAGCATAAATAAATCTCTTTTCCCTTTTCTAAAATGAATTTCTAATTTCTGTCTTTTTTTTATATTAATATTTGTGATCTTTCACAAAATCTTGAATAAAAGAAATTGAATTTTCTATTGAATTAAAATAAAAATATGGTTGCAGTAAGACAAAGGCAACACAGAGAAAATTTAACTAAAAAGTAAACGAGGATATTATTTTATTCCCCATGACATTATAACCTTAAGGAACAACCAGTTTTTTATGGACATAAAATGTATGCCATCTTAACTATTTGACTTACAAGGCATAGATGCAAAAAGAATTATGCACAGAGGAGATATTTGATTAAAAAACTTCATAGGTTTCAAAACATACGAAGAAGGTTATAAAAGTAGACATGTTTCAAGTGCTCAAAAATAATCATCCTTTCTCAAGACTTGCCAGATGTGAATGAGAAAATTAAAGGAAATTTGTACATATTTATAAACTGTATAATTTTAAAACATAGAAGGTGTTTAATTTTATATTTCAAGATATAAAATGATGAAATATGTATTGATAAAAGTGTAGAAATTAATTTTTAATCAATTTTAATAAGATAAATGAATATGACTCTTAAAAAGATATATCACATACAAAGCAGATGGAGAAAGAAATATTTTTGTAAAACATGCAGGTACATACTACATACATTTGTTGAATTTTTTTCGGTGGTCTCCGAGGTGTAGATTCTTTGGCTATGCTACGGCGACTGCTCTATAATAAAAGTGAAATATATTTAAACCATATTTCATAACTTTTAAAAACATATGATACATACTTAAAATAGTAAAATTGTTAACTTCATATCAGCCTACACTCAACATAAAAATGGAAATTTGTTAATACAATAGTGCATTGTCCGATAAAATTACATTATGTTTTTTTGATATATGATTATCATGTCTTAATAATTAGCACTACAGTTAAAAAAATATTTGTTATGTCTATTTGCTATAAAGTTTTGTCACACTTATATCTAACAGAGTACATTTTATCTAAATGAATAAAATCTTAAATTTCTATTTTTTTTTAAAAATACTTTTAAACAGTTTTTAAATTTTAACATAAAGAACTTAAAAATGCTTTAAAAGTTTCTTAATTTAAGTTAAAAGCAATTACCTGAACTTTTCCTACATAAAAAACAGAGAAAAAAAATGAAAGTATAAAACCATACAAATGATTTTTAAAAGTTTTGTAATTTTACATCATTTTAGGGATAGTTTTGCTTCTAAGGGTTTTATTTTTTTTTAAATTATCTTTGAAAAAATGTCTAAAAGAATATTTTTTTAAATAAACCTTGATTTTCTTTTGTGCCTTTTTTTTTGTTGTACATTTTCTCTGTACCTTCAGTGTCTCTTCCACTTTTTTCTCCTCCTGTTGTACCTATTCGCCATCTCCTTTCTTCTGTTTTTTTCCCCCAATAACTTATTTAGGTATCTCTGCTTATTAAAGCTAGGTGAAAACAGCTCTTTTACTTGACAATATAGAAAATATTTACTCTGCTATTATTTAATTGTAAAATGTGATAAGTTTAATTAGCCATTGTCTTTTCCACAATTTTTTCTAACCTGGCAAACTAAAATTTTAGCAATGTTTCATGTAATATTTAGCATAATTTTTGTGTTCTTATAACAAGGAAAACTTTTCTCGAGTCAAATAAGACTTCGTTAATCTTTTAAGTTCTTAGCAGTAGGCTTTACTGTTTTAAAAAAAACAGATGCTCTTCATGTTATTTAATAGAAAAGTAGTGGAGTAATAGGGAAATTTCAGCACAATTTTGTCTAGGGGTTCCACACTTGGAAAGAAAAATATTCTTTACCCACAAATATAATAGCTTAAGCATCTTATAATTTCTTCGGATAGCATTGTATGTTAACTTTTCATAAAACATCAATACCAAATATAATGAGTTGGATTACATATTACACCAAATATCAATAACAATGAGTTGGAACAAACATTAATTATGAAAATGAAGCATGAAAATAAGGAATATCACTAAAACTGTAAAATTTATTGGTGATATAGTTCACAATGTACTGGGTACTATTTAGTATTTACCACAATTAGTTAAGCATGACCGGTGTCAATAGTTTGGATAATTATTACAACCCCCTGAAACAGAATCGAACCAGGCACTGATAGTGCAAGGTAATAAAAATAAAAATATGTAAGTAGGAATTCACTTAATTTCAGTTTTATTTACTATAAATTTTAAACATAATATCATTGTTTAAAATAATTACTCTTGAATGCTTCTTATAGATCAACATTCCAAAATAAAAACCAGGAAAATTTTTATGAGATGGGTTAAGGCAAAAATATTTCAGATAGAAAAGGAATTTTTGCAACAAGCATTTAAATTGCAACCATTCGTAATATTTACAATAATTAAAGCAATTTACTATCAAAAATATTATTAATGCATTTTTCAATTCTTCTGCAAAAATTAGAAGATTCATAAATTTTCCAGAAATTCGTAAGAGCATTCAAACTTTGCTATATCAAAAAAAATTATAAGAATTAACACTATGATTTGGAAACAAATTCAATTAATTTAACCTGCTCTAATTTATCTGAAAAATTAATTTACAATTGCAAAAGCCTGTATATCAATTTAACATTGTATGGAAATTGCTTTTAAATGATGATGTACTTACCATGTTTGGAGAATTTTGTACAGTTAGGGTATTACTATTGCCACTTGAATTTTTTAGATGATCCTTCAGACTATAACGAGAAAAAAAAATTACATTACTACAAAAAGTTATATATCATAAAAATTTATTTTTTCATTCTTAAAACATCTAATATTTTTCAAAATTCATATTAGAAAAGCATAGATTAAACCAAAAACAAGCACTAAACTATTTTTTTATTTCTGTCCCAGATAATTAATTTTGTCTCTTAGTACTTCCAGTTAACACCTACTTAAATTCATTGAAAAATGCAGGGGAAAAAATTTTTTTTTACATAATTTTTTCAATATTGTTTGTCCATAAAAAGTGATAATACTATGAGATTATCTTTCAAATCTTATAAAAATATACTTTTGTATACAGTTGAGTGGAAATTCTTGTATTTATTCATCCTACATAACATTTAATTCATCAGGAAGTGTGCTTGCTTATTATTAGATGTTATAGAAAAATATATTAACATTTTTCTAAAATTTCACAATGAAAATTAGTTCAAAAACGTTTTTATATTGTTATACAAGTTAAATAAAATGATTTTCAAAGCTATATATAAAATATTACTGAAATTTTCTTTTTACAAAAGCTTAACTGAAAAAAAAACAACAACATATTTAACTTACTTCTGAATTGAACGAGTCAAGACATTGGAGCGGATTGCAGAATAAACATTGATGAATTCTTCAATTTTATGAGCCTGAAGCCATTCACTTATTTTAATTAAATCCTGAAGCACATTATCTGTAAGGGCAAACAAGTTCATGAGAAAAAAACTTTAAAATAGCAATAAAAAAAACACAATCCACCTTTTTTTATTAAAAAATTACAAATTTTAAACATCATGAAAAAATTATATTATTGAAAATATACTTATTAATTTGTTAATAGAAAAAAAAAAAACATTTTAAATTATTTTTTAAGTTGAACCAGGAATAACAGAATATTTTTGCTTCTGAATATTTAAAATTTCTAATAGAATATTTTTTGATTAATTTTATAAATAGTTTTCTGTTATCAAAGTAAGAAAGAGAACAATATTTGTTGAAAAAGCAATATCTGACATTTACATTAAAAAACAGCTGATATTGTATGATATGTTTATACAACTTAACTTATTAGGGAGGGTGGTCTTTAATGTGATGGTTGTTATATTATAGTTAAAAATCATATGATAATCATATTTAAAAGAAGAAAAAAACTAATATTTATGCGAAAAATAATAATTTTGGGTTAGAAACAAAAAGACAGTTTCTGGTGTTATATTTAAATACAACAAAAAATGATAATTTAAGTTGAAATAAAAATCAAATAAAACTTTTATAGTCATGTAAAATGTAATTAAACATGAAAAAAATAGGTAAATTATAATGTAATAGATAATTATGCATAGTAAAAACAATGGTAAACAAAGTGAATTAGATATAGCAGGATTCCATGTATATAAAGGGACTTGAGAAAATAAAAAATGCATCTTAAATTCTAATTCAAGGTTTGTACAAGAGAAAAAAACATCTTATGTGCATTGCTTTTATATAATATTTATAGAGAAATGAAAAGCTACTAATCTAGCAGCAATAGTTTGGCATAATAAAATTGCATATTCCATTTAATTTTTATAATACTTAAAATGCTTGAAGTATAAATGTTATGTATTTTCTATAGCTTCAAAGCAATGAATAAGGTTTTTTAATGGCTATACAGTACTAAAACAGGCAAGATTTTTTTTCTTCAAAAGATTACAACTCTTGTTCTTTGAAAAATAATTCAATTATTTCTAAATGAAACCTATACAAATTTTACAAAAAACTATGTACCAAAATACATTAAATAATTTTAAACAATTGATAGTGTACTATGTGTCCCTAGCATGGCCGATCTTCCCAGTGTAATAAATCTAAGTGATAATCGAATTTCTACATTTTTGGTTTGTCAAAACTTAGTAATCTTCAAAATGCAACAGATGGCAATTTAATTGTTATTTTTGTGAAAAATAGACATAAAAAATTGTTTTCTATTTTAATCTTCAGTTATCTTCGTACGAGCTTTTTCTTATCTAAAGAAATTTACCATATTAGTATATAAAACTGCATAATATTTAGTTTTCAGAAAATAAGTATAAAAACTGAGATATTTTACCTGGGAGATGCTCAATAGAAAATTTCTCTTCATCCAATGGCATTTCTGAAACAAATACAATTTAGAGTTATAAATAAATGTAGATTATATGTGACAAAAATATATGTAATTAATATCAATATATCATAATAATACTACATAAATGTATACTATACATAAATGTAAAAAAGTTATTATTACAATGAGAGAAAAATATCATTTCAGTATAAAATGTAAAACTGGTCGAGAGCATCTTTATTTAGCAGTAATCTTAAGAGACTACTCTCATATTCCTTAAAAAAAAATCATGCCATAAATAAGACGTACATACTAAAAGTAGACATAGACATACTAAGAGTGCCATACTATATAGTTTTTACGACATACTGATACTCATAGGGTAGCAGCAGTCAACTTTTTTAGAACAGTGGCCCACCCTGTTTGACTTTTTACAGCGATAAATATACCCTCCTCGACCTTTTTGTAAAAATGTTATTGCCCTTTTTGCTTAGAAAAAAATGCTCTTTTTTATCTTAAGGAAAGAGAAGCATTATCAGAAACTGGGAACTTCAGATTATCNAGAAATATATAGTAACTCCTAAACATACAAAAATTGCTATTTTAGTTTAAAAAATTAGATGATAATCAGCAACTGTTTAGATGATTATTTGTTATTTGATAAGAATTTTGTATTTTTTAGCATAAATAATAGCGATATTATTTTTTAAATTTTAGATTTTGGTGCTGAGTTAATTAACTCTTTTTCCAAAAAAAATATATTAAAAAAAATGAATCACTTTTTAAGTGATTGCTTTTGTTTGCCATATTTTTTACGTTTGCTATATTTAGTCATTAGCCCATCTTCATCTTGTGACAAATCCTACTTTTTTGTCTTTGCAAGCATAGAATTAAGTTTTGAATATATTCTCTTCCAGTTTCGTTGATGTTGTAACACCTACATATACTAATAATCGTCGATAGAAAAACAGTCACCTTTATAGTAACTAATTCAAGAAAAAAAAAAACTTACTTCTTACAAGAATCATGATAGTTGATCTTAAAATTGCGATCCAGGATTTTAAAATCGCGTGAATAGGAATCACTATTACGGATTTTGAAATCACGAGAATATGAAACTAGATATCCGATTTTGAAAATGAGAAAATACAAACTGTGATATAGAATTTTCAAATCGAGTAAATATAAATCACGATTCATAATTTTTAGATCGTGTAAATACGAATCCTGATGCGTAGTTGTTAGATTCCATAAATAAGAATTACGATGCACAATTTTTAGATCGCGCAAATGCAAATCCCAATGACTTACTTTTAAATCACATATAAATACGAAAATCGATGTTCGATATAATAATCGCATGAGCAAATCACGACAGTGGATTTTAAACTCGCGTGAATACGAATTGCTACATAGGTTTTTATAAAGGCGTAAATACAAATCGCGATATTGGATTTTTAAATCTCATAAATAAGAATTGCAATGTACGATATTTAAATCGGGTGAATAAGAATTGCAACACACAACTTTTAAATCACGTAAATGTGAATAAGAAAAGAGATATTAGCAGATTCCAGGCAAGGGACTTCTAAAAGAGACTTTTGAAGCAGCATCATTTGGATAACGAAAATACGAGCTATCTGGAGGGTAAGTTAAAATGCGGAAAATCTTATCTTCTGTGCGTAAGAGCGGAGAAAATAGCTAAAATCAGTAAAAATGCAGAAGGATTGGTATTGTGTAGTTTGAATTTTCAGAATATTTATTAAAAAAAGTGAAATTTTTAGAGAATCGGAGTTTTTGATAAAAAGGCTGAAATTCGAGACACTGAAGTTAAAAAAAGCGTTAATCTGCTAAAAAATCTCATCCCTGTTTATCATTCATGATTGGAAAATTTGTTTTTACACATCATTTTATTAGTTGGGATAATTTTCATAAACGTTAAATTTCATTCATCGATATGTCTTTTCACGACGCTATTAAAAAAGTTGTATTTCTGCACTAAAAAAATTATACCAACTAAAATTAAAATCGTTTGCGATAGATCATGTACTTTCAATAACAATTTTGAAGTCAATGGAGGTAACCTCTAAGCATTACCGACCTCTATCAACTAACATTTTACTGTGGAATGGAGAGTGGTCGATCCCATAGCTTTCACTGTATACATTTTTAAAGTTTATTTTAATATATTTTTCTAATTTCTTATGCCATATTAATTTATTGTCTAAAGAGAAAAAGCATATTTCCCATTAAATGAAATATAACAACAATAACTTTGTATGTGAATTTTTTTTTATAAGTTTTGAATTCCTTAAATTTATGAAAGAGACCTTAAATTCAGTTTCATAAATTGTTGCTGGTTTGTTGCTATATTTTGAATTCTATTATTTTTAACATATGCTTATTTATTCAAAAATTGTAATACATTCAAATAAATTTATTTTCTTAAAAAAATTTTATCAAAAATTTTAAAAAAATATACAAATTTTACTTTTTAAAAATATTTTGTAAAAACTATTGTAACCAAAAAAAAATAAATAAAAAACATGATAGTTTTAAAAGAATTTTCACCCTCCCCCTCGTAAAAAAATTGCATTCTGGAGAAATATTACAAATAATAAAAGAAAAATAAGTTTTTGGTTTAAACTGAAAATATACATATGTAAAATTGCAGATTAACAAATATTGAAGAAATATTTCAACTTTAGTACAAAAACAATGAAAGAAAAGTTTAAAATCTCTGATTAATGATTACATACATACTACTAATTTTTTAACATTAATATTACAAATAGACATGAATCTTATAAAATAACAAATATATAATTTTGTTATAAGGATACTTTCTTGGCGGCGTTGAAGATTCCCAGTTTCTAAGTACACTGGTAATATGGTCTCTTCCAGTTTCATCAAATGCTCATCAAAGGATGTTAGAATTCCACACATACTTTTGCTCAGAGTTTGGCATTTTTCAATTTTTTCTTGCAACAATTTAAGACTATTTGATTCCTAATTTGAAATTAATTTCAAACAATTTAGTAAGTTTCAGATGAAAATAATGACCTTATGTAACATCATTAGAAAAGGTTGATGAAATTTACATTACAAAACAGTAGGACAAAAAATAATAATTCAATTGAAATGTTGAAAGAATTTCCCCTTAATATATTTACTCGTATATTTAGATACTAATGAAATAAATAGCTTAAAAATATACATATTTAAATGAACAAAACGAATATTTCCGTATCGAGATCTGTAATAGTCAAATGAATAGTACAATAATAGTCAAATGAATTTTAAATAAAGTAATGTTTAACATATAAAAGAAAAGAATGTCCGATTTATAAAAAAAAAAAAAGAATGGTTAATAGAAAAAAAACTATTTCAAGTTATGGTTAATTACGTGAAATAAAAAAAAGTAAAAAAATAATGCATTAAAATTCCATTTTAAATTTGCAAAATGTAAAGTAATACATACTTTTTCCAGCTTAACACCGGGATCTTCATTATTGTTTGGTGCCATTTAATTGATATTAAAAGCTTATTAATCCTGTCATATTTTAAATAAGATTAAAAAAAGAGGTTCTGAATGTATGAAAAACAATTTAAATATTTACGATTGAATACAAATATGATCAACCCATAAAAAAATGGAACAGCTTCTGTTGTAGTTATCTAGTTGAATTCGTTGTATTTGAAGGTGTAACAGTTGAACTCGTTGAAGAAAATCAAAATGTGCAGAGCTCAAAGAGTAAATCGAAACTACAAACTGAGTAAACTCTTGAAACTGAACTATCCTGTAAACATTTTTACTGTCAAAAAAAGTGTAAATAAGACAAAAAGTGCCCATTTCTGTTCTGTTTGAACCCTATGCGTGTGCTTAAAATTGCACCAACAGGTTTGAATTGTTTGGTTTTGCCAAAGAATGGTTTTGCGAGATTTTACAGTTGGAGCATGAATCTTAAGTTTCTCCATGAGTTGGAGAAACTACCACAAAGCGACAGCTCAATAGTACCAACCGCTTTTTAAAGACTTCCGCAGCCTTATCATAAGTAGTGTTGATGTTGTAGTTCATTTAAGTCACACTAGAGCTGCACAATGGGATATTGGAGACGGTCTTGGAAACATCCCTGAGGATGATCCGAAAACATGGCATCACAATTTTTGGGAAAATATCGTAAATACAATTGATTATTGTTGTTAATTTACGTCGCACTAGAGCTGCACAATGGGCTATTGGCGACGGTCTGGGAAGCACCACGGAGGATGATCCAAAGACATGCCATCACAATTTTGATCCTCTGCAGAGGGGATGGCACCCCCGCTTCGGTCGCCCGACGACCTGCGTGCGAAGTCGAGCACTTTACGGTAGCACAGTTTAACGAGGACCAATACCGCACACATTCGGTCCCTACGCAGAATGATCCAAGTGGTCACCCACCCGCACACTGACCGTAGCCAGTGATGCTTGACTTCGGTGATCTGCTGGGAACCGTGTCTTAACGATCAGTCCACTGCGGGACTAAATACAATTGAGAAGGAGAGGAAAGGAAAAAGGGGAAGAGTCAAGTCATGAAACCGGTCTTCTCCCCTGATGGCGTATTCAAGCATTGTGATCATGAAATAATAGATTGCATTTTTTATGTGTAACAATAACCAAATAAGTTTCAATTCCCCCTCCTTACTTACTTCATTTCAATGGAATTTGAAAAATAGACTTCAACCCAACTCTTACAGCCAAAGTTATATAATTTCTTGAGCATGTTTAATGTGGGGCTACCTATGCTTCCGAAATAAATACTTAAACATGGACTATGTCTATATCTTGGTTGTTCCCAAGAAACAGCTTGATTTATCAAATTAGATTAAAAAAAGAGTGTAATTTTTTTTAAGCACTAAATATATTAATTTGTAACATTTTCCATTACCATTGAAAAATGTTACAAATTAATATATTTAGTGCTTATAAATAAAGTTAGCGAGTGAATAGCAACAATAAATAAATGATGATACTCCCTTATTTTTCTTACGTCAAGGCGACCTGCTACTTAAATAGCTGAGGAAAGGATAAAATTATTTACTTTGTATAATTTTTTTGGGGTTCGAAACTTGCGCATACATTTACCGAAGAATGGTAGAAAAGTTCTCCAACTTTCCGGCAAATTCACTCAAGCTTTTTGGTTAGCACTTTCTCCATAATTTCTATCCTTTCAAGAAGAGAGAAGCAGGGATTTTACTTTCCTCTTCTCTTCTCTTCCTGATTCATAACTTTGTTTTTATTAGTGACTTTAATTCAATTAATAGATGGAGTAAGTTCACACTCGTGGCTCTTTATGTTAATTGTCAATCAGTGTTAATCGTCAAGCTTTTGTGCTTTGTTAGGAATCCAAGTCCATAACGCAATTAAGCGGTTGGGGAATGCGGTACGGAGACTGGGTACCTATTTAAGTTGAGTCTGTTTAAAGGCGCTTTACTAAATGAGTCATTTTTAAGATGATATGTTGCGGTTCAGTTTCTTCCATAGTCGAACTTCTTAACGTGGTGAAATCTATATATGTATTTATTATTTTTTTGGAAACTTTTTTCGATTGTTATGAGAGGAAGAGAGTTTGATTGTTAGGGATTAAGAAAGACGAGGAAATTTTCGGTTACAGGAATTTTTCAACTGTGGTGAATTGATTTAAAAAATATACGCTGAAAATAAAAAAGTAAATGTGTCACTAATGTCTTTTTTATGCATATATATTTATTACTTTTGCTGCTTCAAAAGAAATTATTTTAGCTCATATTATAGAAAACGTTTTCCTTAACAGTTTCGGGACAGGGGATTCATAAAACGAGGCATCAGGATGGAAAAAAAATAATAAAAAGTGGTAGCTTAAATGTGGGCATGGCTAATTTGACAGATTTATTTTGTTTTCACTTTAATCTAATCTAGTCTAATCACATATCTGTTCAACGTTGGTTCAAAGTGCAACCATATAATTTTTATTTTGAGCCAATAGTGATGAATCAAAAAAATCAAACGATCATAATTTTGCCCACCAATAAGCTGATAAAGAATTTGGTTAACAGTTTTATCGTTTTCCATTTATTGATAACCTTTCAGTTTTTCAGTCGGGGAGCTACTTTAAATTTTTATATCACAATATTTTAGATATAATTCTATTATTTGTTTTCAGTAAATTTAAAAATGTATTAATTAAATGGAATTATTGAGTTTTAAAGGGTACGCAAGCTAAGAAATTCTAAATTTTTGTTATTTTTTTTCTTTTTAACTTTTTCAACATGAAGCTCAAGTTTCGTCTAAGTATGAAGCAAAGGAAAATACAATTTTTTCTGTCTTATCTCATTAAAATTTTTTTTACTTTTATCAAAAATTGTTAAATTAACCTTTTTTTCTAAATATTTAAATTTAAAAACTATTACTACTAAGACTTTTAATATTGAAATTTTTACAAGCATTATATGACCTTTATTAAATATATTGTATGAAACTCTATTTTGCAATTTTTTACTTATTTTATTTATTCTGCGAATCATTAAAAAGTTTCAAAGCTATTAAGCTATCAAAGCTTCTATTATCAAACATTCTTGATATATATGCAACAAGTCACTTAAAATATTTGAAAATAAGGAAGTTAATTTTCTTTTATTGTATTGTTGTGTTTACTTTATTCAAAGCAATGGAAATGTAATAATAATATTTCCTCATAAAAAAAAAACTGTTTTCATATTTGTCATAGATGTGTGCATTGTTGAAAAGTGCTCTAAATAAAGTGTAAATCAGATCTATTTGTCATAGATGCTTGCATTGTTGTAAATTACTTTAAATAATGATCTCACTTAAAATTTATTAAATATTCTTATTTCTCAGACAGTGTTTGACTTTTTATTGAGCGAAAAGGTTGGATTTAGATTACAAGAACTGAAGATCTTGAATTTTTATGAAGAGCAGTGATTTGCTCGATTTTATTAATTCTATTACTAATAATTCGCCTGTCACGATATTTCATTACATTCTTATGTCACGAACATGTAATTTCATACCTAAGCCAGTCTTCGAAGTTTTATTTATTATTTCATAAATTAGGTGATCACAGAATTATTGGAGAATGGCATGAACTTTTTTTTAAAGTTTATATTGATATATATCATGTAGTTACACATAAATATACTATAATCGTTTTCAGAATAGCATATAATGTGATTTTTAATCAATGATTTGTCAGTAATTCGCCTGTCACGATATTTCATTATATTCTTATGTCACGAACATGAATTTCATTCCTAAGCCAGTCTCCGAAGTTTTATTTATTGTTTCATAAATTCAGGGCCGGATTTAAGCTTGGTGGGGCCCTAAGCTATTGAAAATGATGGGGCCCTTATAAGTTCAATTCCATTTCTATACACCTAAAGTAAACTGTCATTATTTTTTTATTGTTGAGTATTAACATTACATTATTAAAAAATTTGATAATATTACTTTATTGTTAAATACAGGGTGTTTATAAAGTCCCTGACCCATTTTGATGTTTAATAACTCATAAAATAATAAAGATAGATTAAAATTAATAACATAAATGGTTAGATAGACTCAAAAAGTTTCATGACCCTTGTCAATGAACTTCCACGTGTGCCCCCTTCGTCGCACGGAGAATATCAAGTCGATAGTCAATTTCACGCCAGGTAGCGGCGAACATGTCGGCATCCACAGAGGCTATTGCTGTTGTAATTCTGGCTTTTAGGTCATCAATGTTCGACACGATCCTCCTGTAAACATTGTCCTTTATAAA